GGGACCACTTTTGAAAGATGAGTGTTATTGCACTGATGTGAGTAGTCATTGCAAAGCTGATGTGGCACAATTAAAAGATTAGTGGCATTGCACTGATGTGGATGACCTAATTTTCATTAAGTTTGCCAGAGAAGATGGAGACATTCGGTATTTTATTTTATTAACCAAAAACAGATTGTACTTGATGATTCTACTCAGTTTTCGATGACAATGACAGCTAGAACAATTCATTTAACATTGGTTGGAAAGAAACACAGATATTTATATAATATATTTAGAATCATTAATTCTTCATATTTGGATACAGTTTTAGATATATCATATATGTCATGTCAATGTGAGTTCATCTAGAATAAATGTTGATATGGATCGTTTAACAACTTATATATTCATATTGTATATATAGGTGCAAGAACTTCTCAACCATGTTAGTCAATGTTGTACAGACCAAAAGCCTTTGAACGTAGGTGGAGCTGCGTTCACCACATCTCTTAACATTCTCTCCAACTTCATGTTTTCTCTGGATCTTGCTCAATACGGTCCCGAGTCAACACAAGAATTCAAGGACGCTGTATGCGCCTTGCTGGAAGCTGGCGGAAAACCCACTTTACCAGACCTTTTTCCGATACTTAACTCATTGGATCTACTAGGGTTATCACGAAAGGAAAACGTTAATGCTACTAAGTTACTGACTATTTTTGAAAAGATCATCCATGAGAGGTTGCAAACTAGATCGGATTCTTCTTCATATGATGGCATTTCAACGACAAACAACGATGTTTTAGACTTGCTGCTCAATCTGAACCTGAAAAATGAATCCATTATTAGTCAAAATGATATGAAACACTTATTTCTAGTAAGTAAATCTTTTAATAGTTATAATTATTGCACATAATAGTACAAGCATCGAGTACATTTTTCTTCAGAAGACTATAACTCTTTCATGAATTATTGTAGTCGTTATATATCGCGGGAACTGACACAACATCGATCACTGTGGAATGGGCCATGGCCGAGCTCATTCGTAATCCAAAGAAGATGGCAATGGCCCGGTTAGAGTTAGTTAAAGTCACACACAACAACAATAGAAATATACAAGAATCTGACATTTCTCAACTCCCTTACATACAAGCTGTGATAAAGGAAACTCTGAGACTGCATCCTCCCGTCCCTTTTCTTATACCACACCAAGCCATACATGATGTTGATGTTCAAGGTTTCATTGTGCCTAAAGATGCACAAATCTTGTGTAACGTATGGGCTATGGGTCTAGACCCAAACATTTGGTCAGACCCAAAAATATTCATGCCAGAGAGGTTTTTGGACGTGAAGATCGACTATAAAGGCCATGATTTCGAGCTCATTCCGTTTGGTGCAGGGAGGAGGATTTGTCCGGGATTGAATCTTGCTAATAGAATGTTACATATAGTATTAGGATCTTTGATTCACAAATTTGATTGGAAAGTCGTGGGAAATTGTAGAACACAAGATATCGATATGGGAGAAAAGTTCGGGATCACATTGCAAAAAGTTGTACCGCTCATGGCTATCCCTGTCAATTTGTGATAGCGTTATAGGTCATTGTGGTTGTTTTCTTAAATAAAAGTTGAAAAGAATTTGTATTACTTTGAGTTTTTAGAAAACACGTGTGCTTGTATTCATAAATAAAAGTTTAAGTAGGCCTTCAGTGGTGAACAACCCAAGAAATTGCCAACATTACAAGAAATACGGTTTTTTTGGCAACCGGATGACTGGAATTTGGTAGAGTGAGCAAGTCGTCTAGAAGTCATTCTTCCTTACAACAAAAGAGATCTTTACGCACTGCCCTATCTACCGGTAAAGGTCTTTATGCACGGATTTTCCACAAAACCATATTCATGGGTAAAAGCTTGTGGCTAATATTTTTCCATGGATTACCCGTGGAATTACCCACAAGTTGTTTAACCACGACTAGATTACCTATGGAGTATCAATAAAAATATTTACCACAACTTTTCCACTGCTCCATTACGAATAGTTTATTCGAGGATTTTTACGCACGGATTTTCTACAGTGTTGTTTCCCACGACTTTTCACGGGTATTTGATAGACATCCTTAGAGATGGCTATTCTCCATAGAAATTATAGAAGAGAGAGACAATACTAAAACACAACTGAAACCACATTTTCTGCTTAATTTTACTAAACCCAAAACATTACAATTTATAAGAAAATGAATAACTAACTCTATGCTAAAAGGAAGGACTGTGCATGCAAGGGCAATAAACGTGGGCTGAGCACTAACTCCTTTATTGACACATGAGGAAAGACCAAGTCTTCATTGTTGTTGGGTCAGGCCATCACGGTGGTCTTGAGTACCAACTTAAACGCGTATCAATTCCTTCTTCCTTAACATGGACATTGTCCTCAAAGTCCTGGAAGTCGGTTCAAATAGTAGCTAAAGGGAGGGGGGAAATGTTTGTCAAATGGCTGAAATGTAAGCGAGCGAGGTAGGACATACACGAAAGTATTTTTCAGGGTTGGCGCTTCTGACGGTTGAAATGGTTCGTCTGTTGACCAGGGGGATAACGACTCTTATGGAGGTGGTGGTGTAGGTGTTGTTAGTGGTGTTGTTGGCAATGTAGTTGGTGGACTTGGTTGATGATTCGGTGGTGGAGGAGGTATGGTTTGGGGTTCCTTGATGGAAAAAGGAGTGATGATTATGGATATGGTTCCCATTTGAATGCTAAGGTGGTTGTTGACGGTGGCAAGTTGCATGATAAGTGCATCCAGATGGTTGTTATTGGTTGTGGTTATGCAAATACGGGAGCCAATTGGTCGTTGATGGTAGCAAAATGACTCTGCAGGGTGGGAGGGCATTGCGAGAGGGAGACAAATTGATGAAAGCACCATTGATAGAGACCACTTAGAGATGGATATTCTCCATAGAAATTATACATGAGATAAAAATATTAAAACATAATTGAAACCACATTTTATGCGTAATTTTACTAGACCCAAAAGATTACAATTTATAAGAAAATCAATAACTAACTCTATGCTAAAAGGAAGGAATGTGTATGCAAGGGAAATAAACATGGGCTCGTAACCAGGAGCACTAACTCCTTTATTGACACGTGAGGAAAAGATCAAGTCATCATTGTTGCCGGGTTAGGCCATGGCAGTGGTCTTGAGTACCACCTTAAGCACGCATCAGTATTGTACACAGATTATCCACAAAATATTACCAATATATTTTCATTTTTCACACATATTCTTTTTGGATGATTCTGCGTATAATCTGTGGGTAACATAACAGATTTCAAAAATTATATATTTACAATTTGTCACACCCTTAAACCGGAACGGGGGAAACGTTCGGGGGCGGAGGACGTCATATACAGTATCACAACAACTGTAAAATAGTAATCAAAGCAACACAACCATTACATTGATAAAATATAGTATTTACATCTGTTCATAACATAGTTTGTATGACATCAAAATGTCTAACAAAAGTATAAAAGACGTGGCTCTAGAATGCTCCGTCTTCTCAAAATCCTGCGGGTATACCTGTCTTATCGGTTCCCTGAGAATACAAGTGATTTTGAAAGTGTATCAACATTTAAGTTAGTGAGTTCATAAGTATGTTTTAGTGCTGGAAAACTTGTCTTTGAACTTTAAAAATGCTAGAGTGTTTCTCAAGAAAATCCAATATTTTCAATAGTAAATTTAATGTAATCATGTAAGCTTCTTTTCTTTGTATACGTGTATTAGTGTACTCTATGTTAGAAAACAGTGTATGGTATTTGTATTTGTATGAAAACCTTTATATGTATATCTGAATACCATCAGTTGTAGTAAAAGTAGTGTACTGTATTAGCATTTGAATAAAACCTTAGTATTAATGTCTGAAATCACCAGTTGTAGAGTAAAATAGTGTGGCATAGTAGTGTTTGCATGAAAACCATGTATGAATGTCTGGTTATTACCACCTGTAGTGTAAAGTAGTGAACCATAGTTTTATTAATGAAAATAAAACCATTGAAGTAGTGCTAATCTCGTAAACAAATATTTTAGTTATATTGTTGTGAGTTTCATATAACCATGCTAATATGACCTAGTGGCCTCTACGACATTCTTCAGGAGTCGGTAATATGACATTTGTCAACCCCAGGCACGCCTGCCTAACTGTAGCTAGCAGTTTGGATGTGGGATTTTCAGTCCCGTATATATCTATACACAACCCTCATGCTCTCCATCCGGGAGACTCTGGTTATAATTTATAGGACTTGAACCTGTACCCTGGTGGGTACCCAAAGTAGTGCCTCACAACCCGGTATTAACTAGTTTACGTGTAGTGTTATAGTGTTCTCTTGTAACTGAAACTGTATGTATTACCTTGTAATGTAAAATAATTATACTTAAATAATTATTTTAGTAGTGTATTCTTGTAGTAGTGAAATAGAGTAGTGTTTTCCTCAAACTATACCTATTATAGTTTAAATAAATGTTTTGTTTCTATGTATTATTCTTAGCAAGTAACGTAGTGAATCCCAAACTATACAAATTATAGTTTGTTCGTAATGTTCAGTAGTGTACTGAAAACGTTTGCAATTTAATTGTACGAATATAAAATACCCTTATGTTCAACATATTACAAAAGGGTTAAAATATATAATATATTTTTAGACAGTGTAGCGAATACTCGTTATGAAACAATTGCAAATGTTTTTAAAATATTTAAAGGATATTTGTATAAACACAATAGTCCTTGTGTTTTACTTGTATTTCCCCCTAAAAATATTAAAAACGTTAAAAATGTAGGGGTATGAACTCACCTCGTATGTGCGTTAACCGGAATTAGCGAGTTGTAAAGACGATACCCCAGGTAAGTGTATGCGCTAAAAACGTTGCCCTAAAATAATTATATTCGATGTCGTATTTAAATTAATAAGAATATTTATTTAAATGATGTGTTAAATAATTAATTAAGTATAAGGGGACTTACAATTAAATTGAAAATAAATGGAAAATGTTGGAAAATGGGGTTTACGGCTGGAACAATGAGTTTACGGTTGGATCATATGAAATTATGAAGATTTAAAGGCCACTTGAAGATTTGAAGATGACTTTGAATGTTCTTGAATGAAATTATGAAGATTTGAATGAGTTTGGGCGTAAACACTTGAAGATTGAAAGGATTTGGGGTTGTTCACGGATGAAGATTGAGAGAATTTTGGAAGTGGTTCACGGTTGAAAATGTGATAAATGAATGTGTTTACACCTAGAACACTTATATATAGAGGTGTTTACGGATTGAATTTGGGCTATGGCTTGGGTTTACGGTCCATTAATGGACTAGTATTGAGTTTTAGCCCATTAAGGGGGTGTTCACGGTCATAAAGCAACCGTAAACACCTTTATGCTTCTTGGTTTAGCCGTAAACTACTCCATCCTCCCTTAGTTGGACTGTGAACTCCATGGGAGTTCACTTTTTGGACCGTGAACACACCTTTGGGGTGTATCTTTGGCCGTGAACTCCTTTAAGGAGTGTTTTGATGATTTAAACTTTGAATTAACTCAAGTA